AGAACCTTTAGGGAAAGGTTGCCAGACTAACAAAGACCAAGACTGATTTGAGGTCTGGGGTCTGGTTAGTCTCCCCGGGAGCGGAAAGATATATGACAAACGCTCCCTTGCCACAAGCTCCTGGAGTAGTGTGGAAGCTGGCCTCCTGATGATTGTCCAGACTTGCTTTAGGCCTATGGCAACAATCCTACCAGAGTTTTCAGAATTTCTTACAACTTTTCTAGAGATTTTTATTTCTTTTGAGGGACACTCGAGACACTCTATGAGCTACATTTCATTGAAGTGGTTAGAGTGCTTGCAGACCTTGGCACCATCCTTACAGTGTGACTATTTTTAAATATCTAAATGCTAATCAAGATTGCCATGGTAGCCCCATTCCCTCCGTGTTGCTTGGGCTAATTAGAAAACATGAGCAACAATGGGTGGCAATGATTGGCTGAGAGTGCCAACTAAAAGGAAGTGTGTCATTTATGTCTTAGACACACTTCCATTGAGCCAGTCTATGGGCGGCCATGGGAACTTATTTATTGTTAAACTGCTCAAAAATGGTTTAACATTAAATGAAGAGACAGCGCCAGAGGACTCCAGGCATGGTTACCACTTCAATAAGATAAAATGGTTATAGTGCTGTGACAGATCCCTCTGTCTTAGAACTATATTGCTATCCTGTTTGATTTGTGTGGATTTGTGTAATTGCCTGCCCGTACTTCCCCATTCGTTTATTTTTTAATCTACCGAACAAACTGCCGAACGGCCGGCCACCCAGAAGAGAAGTGGTTAACCTATTGGCCTCAATTAGAACGTTGTGGTTAAACGCAGACACAAAAATAATTGAAACCGTATGCTGGGTGGTAGTTGTTCGTATGCCGACCACGAGGCGGCAGCCATCTTAGATGCACGAATAAACAGCGGTGTTCGTCGACAATCTTATGGAACCCAAAATGGACACTTTTTCTCCTGAACACCGCTGAAACCACCGACCTCCCTTCTTGTCATCTGGCATACGAACGCCGGTCCGTTCGGGACTTTTATTTCACGAATGGACTTAACCCAGATAGCCATCCCATGGAGCCATTCGTATACCGAAGGAACAGTGTGAAAGACTTTGGCTCCATGGTGATTTGTATTAGATATGAGCGCCATTCGGTAATAATGTGCGCTCAGATCTAGGCTATCTGGGGATACGTTATATGTACTGAATACATTCGGTAGTTTTACAGTTATTTAATTTTATGTATTTTTATTGTATCTTGTAAAATGATGTTTTGCCTCTGTCCTTCCCAATTATCTCCAGGATGGAGAAGAGGGGTTTGCTTGTACAAAGGGGATGGTTTATGCCTGAGCCACTGTGATTGGCTACTGTACCATACTTGTCCCAGTCTTCCATCTGGTCCCCTAGGGGAGTGTCCACCAGGTGGGAGACCTACATAAATACTGGGCTTGTAGATTATTCTTTTGCCTGTTCCAGGAGAGAAGGATTTCGTATGATTCTCCATTCGGGAAATTGGAGTATTCGCGAGTTGCTGGTCCCTAATCAAGGAGAGAAGGATTTTGTGTATTTTTCCAGTTCAGTGAATTGAAGTGTTCATGAGTTGCTATTCCCGTATCAAGGTGAATCCCTTATTCGGTATTAACCCTCGATACCCGGATTATGCCGTTTGACAAAGCCCTGTGGGTGGGGCGAAATGCATTACGGACCCGGAACCAGGAAGTGATTTCGAGACAGTCAGCAACAGCAGCCAGGACAGCAGCTGGAAGATTTTTTACATTTACTTTCTTTGCAGTTTCCTGAGGCTGGTGAGCGGACTAACTACCTCCACAACAAGTTTTGCTGTTTTTAAATTGCTATTAATAAAGTATACTTACCTGAGATCCGGATTGCAAGCTTCTTTTCCACAGATCCCACGCACTCTAGGGGCTGATCCTCCCTGAGTGCTATAGCAACGAGTGGTGCTTTTACCACAACAATCTTCTGAGTGTAATACCTAATGGGCACCTCTGTCTGCTTTATTTTATATATTTATAAGTGAATTACTACGCTGCACTAGGAGCTTTCTTTCTGTTTTTGTCTCCTTAATAGGTGTCAGAGTGATTTCAATGTTTGCAAGTATACCTACAGATTGTGCTTTGTTTTACCACAACCACTGTTTGTGTTTCAATTATTTATAATATTTCCACTCTTTAAACACCTCATTTCATGTACACAAAAGAGACTCGTGTCCATCTAATTCAGCCTTCCTCACATTTGTTTTTTGGTTTGATCCAAAAGAAGGCAAAAAACCCCCAGTTTGAAGCACTTCCAATTTTGCAACAAACTAGGAAAAAAATTCCTTCTTGACCCCAGAATGGCAGTGAGATTTATCCTTGGATCAAGAATCTATTACCCTACATTGAAAAATGATATCCTTGAATATTCTGATTTGCAAGTATGCATCTAGTTGCTGTGTGACCATCGGTATGGACTCTGATAAAACCACTTCTTTGGGCAGAGAATTCCACATCCTTATTGTTCTTACATTAAAAAAACAAAACCTTTCCTTTGCCTTACACCCTGTTCCAAATTATTATGCAAATTCTATTTAAGTGTCACAAAGATTAAATATTTAGTTTTTTAGTTTAACTCATGGATGGCATTGTGTCTCAGGGCTCTTTTGATCACTGAAAACAATCTCGGACACCTGTGATAATTAGATTGCCAGGTGAGCCCAATTTAAGGAAAAACTACTAAAGGAGGGTGTTCCACATTATTAAGCAGAGCACTATTTTCATGCAATATGGGGAAGAAAAAGGATCTCTCTGCTGCCGAAAAGAGTGAAATAGTTCAATGCCTTGGACGAGGTATGAAAACATTAGATATTTCACGAAAACTTAAGTGTGATCATCGCACTATTAAGAGATTTGTGGCTGATTCAGAGCACAGACTGGTTTGTGCAGCTAAAGGTACATTGAGGAAGATTTCTGCCAGATCCATGCATCGGATCAAGAGAGCAGCTGCTAAAATACCATTACATAGCAGCAAAAAAATATTTGAAGCTGCTGGTGCCTCTGGAGTCCCACGGACATCAAGGTGTAGAGTCCTCCAGAGTCTTGCAACTGTGCATAAACCTTCTATTCGGCCACCACTAACCAATGCTCACAAGCAGAAATGGCTGCATTGGGCAGAAAAATACATGAAGACTAATTTTCAAACAGTCCTGTTCACTGATGAGTGCCGTGCAACCCTGGATGGTCCAGATTGATGGAGTAGTGGATGGTTGGTGGACGGCCACCCTGTTCCAACAAGGCTGCGACGTCAGCAAGGCGGTGGTGGAGTCATGTTTTGGGCCGGAATCATGGGAAGAGAGCTGGTCGGCCCCTTTAGGGTCCCCGAAGGTGTAAAGATGACCTCTGCAAAGTATGTGGAGTTTCTGACTGACCACTTTCTTCCCTAGTACAGAAGGAAGAACTATGCTTTCCGTAATAAAATTATCTTCCTGTATGACAATGCACCATCTCATGCTGCAAAGAATACCTCTGCATCAATGGCTGCTATGGGGATAAAAGGAGAGAAAGTCGTGGTATGGCCTCCATCCTCTCCTGACCTCAATCCTATTGAGAACCTTTGGAGCATCCTCAAGTAAAAGATCTATGAGGGTGGGAGGCAGTTTACATCCAAACAGCAGCTCTGGGAGGCTATTCTGACATCTTGCAAACAAATTCAAACAGAAACTGTCCAAAAACTCACAAGTTCAATGGATGCAAGACTTGTGAAGCTGCTATCAGATAAGGGGTCCTATGTTAAAATGTAACGTGACCTGTTAAAATGTTTAAAAAGTTAAAATGTTGTTATAAGTTTGATTGAAATATCTTTTGATTTCAGTAAATATGCTGCAAACACAACAAATGACAATTTTCAGTTCTTTACAACCTATAAAGTGTTTTGAAACTTACTGTGTGTAATAATTTGTAATAACAGTGCATTGTAAATTTTTTATGTTTAAAAAAAAATACTGTTATCATTAGGAGGTTTGTTCAATAAAATTTGAATTGTACTCTTAATAGCTGATAACATGAGAATTATGCTGACTGTTATTTACATCAATTATTTAGGTAAATGAGAAAAATATAATTAGCGTAATAATTTGGAACAGGGTGTAGACGAAATCTACTTTCTGCCAGTCTAAACGCATGGCCTCGTGTACTATGTAAAGTCCGGTTTGTGAATAGATTTCCACACAATGGTTTGTATTGGCCTCGAATATATTTGTATAATGTTATCATATCCCCTCTGAGGTGACTTTTTTCTAAACTAAAGAGGTTTAAATTTGTTAACCTTTCTTAGTAACTAAAATGCTCCATTCCTTTTATTAATTTTGTAGCCCGCCTCTGCACTTTTTCTAGTGCCATAATATCCTTCTTTAGAACAGGTGCCCAAAATTGCACAGCATATTCAATATGGGGTCTTACCAGTGATTTATAAAGAGGCAAAATGATATTCTCGTCCCGAGAATGAATGACCTTTTCATGCATGACAATACCTTACTGGCCTTGGCCACTCCTGTCTGACATTGCACTTTGTTGCATAGTTTGTTGTCTATAACAATTCCCAAGTCCTTTTCGTGTGTAGTTATTGGACAAATTCAGTTTTTGTAGCTGAATTGACCGTACATTTTAAATTCACTCTCAATTCTCACCTTAGTGAATATTCCTGGTAAATGTCCTGTTATCTTCTCATACAGAGAGAATTCCCGTCCTCAGACGCTGTATGGGACGTGTTTTGCCGGGAGATGAGTTTTAGTGATGGAAGGGAAGTACCTGACTCCCCGCTGCCTATTCTCTACCAGCATGGCGGCAGCTGGAAATCTTCTGCAGATTTAATGGCTGCCAGGATCTACATTTCCTCATATTTATATTAATGTTCATTCACAGAACAACAACCTTTGCAGTGGCCATTCTATCTTGCAGATCCTCACACACAGACATACGTTCCTGGCACAACGTGTGATAAAAACATGACAAACTTTATGATCCTTCAATCCTTTTATTTAAAAGCAAAATAAATGAAAAATGCCTTCACCACTTCGCACAGTTTGGCTTTAGCAGCTTTTTACACACACTGCGGTATTATGTTTTAAATTGCTGTAGGGCTAAGTGCTTATCGGCCCCCGTGTACCAGACAGTCAAAAGAAAGCCCAAAATAGCTTATGGCTTTATTGATTTTACTAATAAACCCAGTTCATTCCTTGAACTTAGCTAACAGCTGGATATTGGGGACTCGACAGTGGGTACTGGATACTAAGGACTGGATAATGGGGGCCGGATACTAAGGACTGGATAATGGGGGGCCGAATACTAAGGACTGGATAATGGGGGGCCGAATACTAAGGACTGGATAATGGGGGCCGGATACTAAGGACTGGATAATGGAGGCCGGATACTAAGGACTGGATAATGGAGGCCGGATACTAAGGACTGGATAATGGGGGCCGGATACTGAGGACTGGATAATGGGGGCCGGATACAGAGGACTGGATAATGGGGGCCAGATACTGAGGACTGGATAATGGGGGCCGGATACTGAGGACTGGATAATGGGGGCCGGATACTGAGGACTGGATAATGGGGGCCGGATACCGAGGACTGGATAATGGGGGCCCGGATATCTGAGAAAGTAAGGTAAAAACAGACTGTAGGTGAAAGTGTATAATAGACAGTATGTAATAACACAGACAAGATCCAGATATACAGGCCAGCACTAAGTCTGACAGTCTAGTAAATCCCAGCCAATGTGCTGAGAGGAATAAAGTTTATCTGTCGGCGTCCTCCCCAGTGGACAGTGGGATAGGTCCACAAATCTCTACATTAACTCTTCCTTATTAATTAACTGGGTTGTAGCTCTTTTTCCTGCCTGGGAAAATGAAAGTAAAACGTATAATTTATATTAACGTTGCATTAAATGTATAATTTTATCATCCGTAATTATTCTAGATAACTTCACCACAAACAAAGAGCTCCTGGCGTCTTACAAACCATTACGTATACTGCGCCGCTATCTGTGGAGCCACATACAGGATACAGACCGTCTCAATATCACTTCCAATACGAGATACAGCCTGAGCCGACAGTCAGGAGATAATCCTTAGCTGAGACGGTAATTAGCTGAAACCAGAAATGAATGGATGGAGTGAGAGAGGGGAGAAAATAACAAACTGATTGTTTAATAAGTGTTAACTTTCAGACAATCAGAATGCAGCCTGGACGGTTATTACAATAGAATGAGAATTCAGGGTGAATTTAGTATTTAAGGCCAGAGTAGTCGAACTGATAGCAGAGCTGATTTAGAGAATTTATCCAGTTCGGCTGGTTTTATCTTATGTTTGAAATGCGAATTCTCACTTTAGACAATAATCCTGTGAAACTATTTCCAGTGTTTATATTATTCAAACTCTCATAAAACGTTCCCTTAGTTTTAAAGTAACCTTAATCTGAAGTGATAATGTTTTAATGACGGGCATTAAAGTTGTTGTTTTGGTAAGGCCCCCGTCACAGTAATGCAATGCATATTATATGTATGTTGTGTTTGCCCCCAGTGGGAAGTATTTTTAGTTTAATTATTAATATTACTGGGTAGAGGAGTTTCGCTCCCATATAGCCATGTCTGAGCACAGTCTGCAAGGCCTATGGCCAGTACCGGGGCTGGGTGGGTCCATTGGCCTAAGCAACACTTGGAGGGGACAGCGTTCTGTCACAGTTTCTGGGGAATAAGCACAGAACTGCCAGGCAGTCCCCATTCAGAATCCAGTAGGGTTGGGGTGGGTATATCTCGTGTAGGAGAGTGGTGGGGAACATATACTATTGTATGCGGGCAGTTGAACTCAGTGGCTGAAGAATTGGGGCGATCGGGCTAGGTGAGGGTCTATTAGGCAGATGTTCTAGAGTAGATGATGTGAGAACATGAACCAGAAGGGTAACGCTGGAGGGAGATGTATTGAGATGATGTTCTGGAGAGAATGCGAGAGATGAACCTGGAGGAGATGTGGCTGGAGGGGATATTTTGTGGGGGATCTGGGACTGGGGGTGACAATGTTCCACTTGTTGGTGTTCTCTGCTTACAATATATCTATTTAGTGAATTAGTACATTGCTCCACACCAGACAGTGCAAACCAAGAGGCAATGTGTGGATTGTCAATCGCTGTGTAAAATTCACAAGTGAGGAACAGCCAGGGAGGTGATTGACATGTAGTATATTCACTGTACGGAATGTAATATTAGAGATTTGCGTCTGTAAAATGGTGTCTTTCCATGTTCTCACCTCTCAGTTCATGCATTTTACATCATGTAGATTAAATAAGTAAAAAGCAATTATCCACAAACCTTGCCACTAATCTATAACAAAGTTACCTCCTTTTATGACGAATATAAATTTTTTGTAAAAAAAAAAACAAAAACAAAAAAAACCTGTATTTAGGTGAAAGTTGGAAAGTAACACAAAGCGAAAGCTTCAAAACTAAACACATTTTTCTAATCCTCATCTCCTGCTCACTGGGTAAAACATTTTCTGTAGAGAATGAGATGGATCTGAGCTCAGTATGGTAACTGCTGGGGCAATCCTTCAGGTAAGACACCATGAGATGTCAAGTGGTTCCTCCAGAGTTTGACCTTCGAAGGTCACATGGTACTTTCTTGGACTTGGTTCAGACATGGCATTGACTCACTGGGTACATCCTGAGATTGAGATCCAGCATTTTCTATATCTGCAGAAAGAGGGAACAGTTATAGCATAAAGTAAATTCAGTAAGAGCAGACACAGGATATAAAGAGATATGTATGAATGAGTGTGGGTATGCCAGTGTATGGGTATCTGTAAGTGTGTAGGTATGCCAGTGTATGTGTGTCTGTAAGTGTGTAGGTATGTCAGTGTATGTGTGTCTGTAAGTGTGTAGGTATGTCAGTGTATGTGTGTCTGTAAGTGTGTAGGTATGCCAGTGTATGTGTGTCTGTAAGTGTGTAGTTATGCCAGTGTATGTGTGTCTGTAAGTGTGTAGGTATGCCAGTGTATGTTTGTCTGTAAGTGTGTAGTTATGCCAGTGTATGTGTGTCTGTAAGTGTGTAGGTATGCCAGTGTATGTGTGTGTGTAAGTGTGTAGGTATGTCAGTGTATGTGTGTCTGTATGTGTGTAGGTATGCCAGTGTATGTGTGTGTGTAAGTGTGTAGGTATGTCAGTGTATGTGTGTCTGTATGTGTGTAGGTATGTCAGTGTTTGTGTGTAAAATTGTGGGTATGTCTGTGTGTTGGTAAGAATGTGGGTATGTCAATTTAAATATTGACTGTGTAAGGGCAAATATAGTGAGCAAAGGTGGAAATGAAATCATATGCAATATATATAATTATACAATTAAAAATAGTATATAATTGTAAAATTATATATATTGCATATGTTTTAATAGGCGGACATATGACCTATGTGGGAAGGTCGGAAGTGCCTACATTAGAAGAATCGCCACATTGGATGGGGTGAAATCGGACCATATTTGGCAATGGGTGTTAGTTTGTAGTAACTAACGCAGTTGGACCAAATATGTAATTCTGGTGCTATATACAGGGATACATGGACACTGTTCACACACATTCACCTTGTTTGAGGTCGAGACGCGTTGTACTCTTTATCTTATGTATAATAAAGATTTATTTTAAACTTTACTTGGTTTCTTACTATCTGAAGGTATTCTGATCTTGGTGGGACCCAGCATTGGAAGTTTCCTATTCTGCATCCATTCCACATTAACTGTTGATTGATGAAATGCCTACAAGGTGAGAGCCTACTTTAAGTGGCTCTGAAATTTGTGAGTGTTCAGAGTTACTCTTTTATTACAATTTATGTTGACATATTACACTATGATGTGTTTTCATTCTCTTATACCGGTTTTATCTAATATTATCAGTCGTGAGGTCTGTTTAACCAATTTGTGAGCAATCACCTTGATCTTCATTTATTTTATATATGTTGTAGCGGATTACGTTTGGCTGTCTATAACTATTCTTACTGCAACGTTATTTCCCTATCGTTTTTGGCACTGGTATACAATGTATTGTATGAAGCATTCGTCTGGTTGTTCGGTAGAAACGCAATGGATACCCAGCTGAATATCTCCGTTCGACATACGAACAAACTACCGAACAACCAGACCACCCCGGAGAGAAGTGTGGCTCTAATTTACCTCCCTCATCGGTATTAACACCAGCCTAATTGCCAATTATATGAATGTACTGTGTATTCCCTGAATGGGCGCCTTTCGACATGCGAACACGTGGCGGCGGCCATCTTGCCATACGAACGCTCAGCGGTATTGTCATCAAGTGTCTGGAACCCAAATCGGACACTCAACTACGCGAAAACCGCAAAGACCTCCAGACTTCCACCCGTTCGTGAGGAAACACATGAACGGCCCTGCGTTCGGTAGGAAGATACTCACGAACCAGGGGATTCATACGAATCTAGGCAAAGACTATTCTGCCCAGTATTTTCATGCTTTTTACCCCGTGAACAGAGACCGACCGCAAGGCCAGAATACATGGAACTGATTTCGGCTATTGCCTCGTGGACGGGCGGTCAAACGAACACCTCCATGAAATTCCTGAACTCCTGATCCGATCTGGGTGATTTTTGAGTATGTTGCTCATGCAGATCAGGGCTATCAGTGAATGTGTCATTTAGGGGTGTATGTCAGGTATTTGGGGTACATCCAGAAATCAGGGAAAACTATGTGTAAAAACTGTTCTGTTAATTATATTTTCTTGTAGGCTGAGGGGAGGAGATGTGTGGGTTGAAACCTATGTGTGATTGGTTGATGTACATTTGTCTGTGGGTGTCTCCCTTGCATGGGAGAGATGCATAAAAGCAGGGTATGTGGGATTAAACATCAGTTCTGCTCCTGATACTGTGTGTCGTCCAGTTATTGGGAAAGGTGATGGGATATTATTGGATTGTTTTATTTGATGCTTATGCTGTGCTCTTGGTGTTGACTACTTGTTCCTGAGCTATTCTTGGATTACAGGTCTGCGTGTTGTCCTGCCTTCTAGGACTCCCATTGGGTAATAGCATCAGTACGTGGAGCTGGACTTCTTCGAAGTCCATGTTGTTTTCCACATACGTGTTTCTATAGATTTATTTTTTTACAGTACATGGTGTCTCATTGGGTCGGGAGTTAAGTACATGATGTTAAGTAGACAGAGCCCACCAAGTCAGAGGAGGCAGGATACGACCATCTTTAAACTTCTCCAGTTGCCAGTTTGTTGGGGATGGGGGAGGGAGTTACAAAGCAGCGGCTAGATTAAGGGGAGGATTAATGGAGATAGAAAACCCACCCAATGCTTCAATTCCGGTTGGCGGAGGAAAATCTTTGGGTTCCGCATGATTTGTAGGGTTTTCACAAGAACCAGGACTGTCTTCAGGGGGAAAAGTAACAAGTTCTCTCTGTTCCTGAACTAAAAATATAAGAAAACATATTATGACTCGGATCATGTATTATCCAGATTGCTACAATACTGTGACACCCTATTGCACTGATCAAAAACAGTTTAATTTTCCATTAGGTGGGTCATTCTCGTACTAGTATCTGCGTGCTTCTCATCTTCTCTCACCTGTGTCTGTTACCTGTGCACCTCCCATTCTCTGCTACCTCTGTCTGATTGTTGCCTGTGTGCTTCCCATTCTGTTAAATGTGGCTGGATGTGTCTGTGTTTCCCATGCTTTGTTGTCTTTCTCTGCCTATTACCTGTCTGTTACATTCACTGCTCCCAGTGTCCTCATTCTCTGCTCCCCGTGTCCTCTTTCTCTGCTCTCCCGTGTCCTCTTTCTCTGTTACCCTGTGTCCTCTTTCTCTGTTACCTGTGTCCTCTTTCTCTGTTACCTGTGTGTACCTGTGTCCTCATTCTCTGTTACCTGTGTCCTCATTCTCTGTTACCTGTGTCCTCATTCTCTGTTACCTGTGTCCTCTTTCTCTGCTCTGTGTCCTCTTTCTCTGCTCCCCGTGTCCTCATTCTCTGTTACCTGTGTCCTCATTCTCTGCTCCCTGTGGCTTTATTCTCTGTTACCTGTGTCCTCATTCTCTGTTACCTGTGTCCTCATTCTCTGTTACCTGTGACCTCATTCTCTGCTCCCCGTGTCCTCATTCTCTGCTCCCCGTGTCCTCTTTCTCTGCTCCCCGTGTCCTCTTTCTCTGCTCCCCGTGTCCTCTTTCTCTGTTACCTGTGTCCTCATTCTCTGCTCCCTGTGGCTTTATTCTCTATTACCTGTGTCCTCATTCTCTGTTACCTGTGACCTCATTCTCCGCTCCCTGTGTCCTCATTCTCTGCTTCCTGTGTCCTCATTCTCTGTTACCTGTGTCCTCATTCTCAGCTCTCTGTGTCTCACTTATTCCTGAGTGTCCCCTTATTCTATCTATCTTGTACCCCCATATATTTAATCTGTTTCCCTACTGCCCATCACAACCACTCGGACGCTGTTTCCTTTTTACCTGTGTGGTTTCCACTCCTTTTCGCTCTCCAGAGACAGTAGCTGGTGATGCAAAGAATGAGTGACAGAACAAAGAGGAATCCCACAGCAGCAGCTATTAGAATCCAGTAGAGTTCTCCAATACCAAACCCTAGAAAAGACAATATATATTATACTGGGGCTGGCTTTAGGGAAATGATAACATGCCCTCTCTACAAAACCATGCAATCATTTATAAGGGAACGACAGACACCATCACCACTTCAGTATGTGCAAAGTTTCAGTGCTGTCGGATGTGTAATTTCACCTCCAATCTGCTAAACCAGTAATAACCAGTAAATACAATCCCTAATCTAACTACAGGGCAGCAATAAATATCCGTTTAAACCCCCTGACGACAAGCTTTCTCTATGGGGTTTGTCACAGAATGCACACTATCCATGGGAATGATTTTATGAGAGATTCTGGAGCTGGTAAGATTTTATTTTCTACGTATCCTTTTGACAACTGTTGTTTGCAGGCGTTACTATGAAAATTATAATCAAGCCAGAGAATAATCAAGTGATTTTAAATAATATTTTGGCTGCAACATAATTAAATTTTGGATTCTGAGATCAATGTAACGAACATTACTGCAAAATGCTGAGAGCAATGATATATTGCCTATTAACCTTTAAAGTGCGATGACTGGAATGCTTTTGTGTGACGAAAGTAACTTCACTACTGGCTTTTGGAGGGGCCTGTTTGCCAGCCTCCTGCCCTGTGACTATGGGCCTGTAGTAGACTTTGTTTAAAAACACTGTTTGTGCCTCTGGGACTTCTAACAGGAACCATTCGAACTTTTGAAGCGGCACTTCGAACTCCCCAACTCCCAAAGCCATTTGAAGTGGCATTTGAACACGTGGTGGTGGCCATCATGTTTAGTCAAACGCATCCAGCGATGTTTGGTCGTCGAGTGCATGGAACTCAAATCAGGCACTCGACGGCGCGAACACCGCTAAACTTTTACCTTCCATGGATGTTCGGCTATTCAAACGGCGTTTGGTTAGAAGAAACTCCCGACCAAGAGACATACACGGACTTTATCCACAAACGGCTACGTTTGTTATTTTGAGCGTTATTTTGAATCCTTGAAATAGACCGTCTGCAAGCCCTGATTCTCTGGAACTGTTTTGGGCATGGAACCATGCCTGCGGTCGGTCATATATGTGACTTACATAGAATTCCTGAACCCCTGAACTGATCTGGGTGATTTTTGGATTTGTTGGTTACCCAGATCAGGGCTATCAGGTGATGTAATAATTGTGGGGATTTTATGTGTTTTTGATGTACTTTTGGGGTCTTGTAAAATATGTTTTCTGCCTGGAGATAATTGGGTTAATACAGTATCTGACTCCATTATCTCCCAGGCAGAGGGGGAGGGATTGTATGCCATGGGTGGGAGTGACTTACATTGTAAATGTGTTATTATTGGTTTGTAAGTTTGTGTCCCTGTCTCCAACAAGGTCCATGTGGGCGTACACCATCCTGGTTGATTTTTGGATATAACAAACGAATGATGTAGGTGGTCACAACCATAAGCGTGTATGTGACCCTCTGCATCACCTGGAAAATAAAGTAGCCTAATGGGTATTTAATATACAAAATATACAAAAAATACCTAGTTGCAGATGGGTGAGATATCGATACCAAATCCTCCTCTATCGAACTATGATAGAGGCAGAATAGTAGTCTGAGTGAAAGTGATAAATCAAAATTAAATATAATAAATAATAAATAAAGTAGGCTCCTATATACAAAAAAGTATATAACTAACCAGATCCAATTATGTATAGGTACTGTGGCTGATATCTTTAAACGAGCTTTATTCAGTCTGGCTCTATGTATATCAAGACACTCCCTAGTATTATTATTACAACTACTGTTATATACTCAAAAAATAATATTCGGTCCTGTATACGATACTGATATATCAGGAAAATGTCCCTATATAGAGAGACTTAGAGGACTGTAAATGCTACTCAAGATCTTAGTTAGCAGAGTGTCCTAGGATGTAGGCTGTCAGAAAATTCGAAATCCTCGGGTAGAAAGTCCGTATTATTTGTATACCTTGCTAGAGGAACTACCCGTAGGCTCACTAGAGAAGTGACTAGACAGAGGTAAAAACAATCATCCAGGGAACGGATATATCAGGATAGGTATATGTACAAATATTCCCACAGACAGCTTGTGATGCTATCTGGGGGTAACAGGAAGCCAAGTATCAGAAATGTAAACAGTAAATTGAATTTCGTGTACATATAGTTATCATTTTTTTTTTTTCAAGTACCTTTAGTCTGCTGAAATATAATTCTAGTGTAAACAGAGTATTCAAGAGACAGTATAACTTTGCTGATATATCAGTATCGTATACAGGACCGAATATCCTCAGGGTAATCTCAGTATTATTATTTTTTGAGTATATAACAGTAGTTGTAATAATAATACTAGGGAGTGTCTTGATATACATAGAGCCAGACTGAATAAAGCTCGTTTAAAGATATCAGCCACAGTACCTATACATAATTGGATCTGGTTAGTTATATACTTTTTTGTATATAGGAGCCTACTTTATTTATTATTTATTATATTTAATTTTGATTTATCACTTTCACTCAGACTACTATTCTGCCTCTATCATAGTTCGATAGAGGAGGATTTGGTATCGATATCTCACCCATCTGCAACTAGGTATTTTTTGTATATTTTGTATATTAAATACCCATTAGGCTACTTTATTTTCCAGGTGATGCAGAGGGTCACATACACGCTTATGGTTGTGACCACCTGCATCGTTCGTTTGTTGTGTCTTCCTTTCTAGTTACTTTGGGGTTAACCCCCTAGAGACCCCTGGAGTCTCTACTTGGTACGTGAGACAGCTGATCACAACTGGGCACTTGACGTTAGCCATAGCAGCACAGTGGTGCCCTGCTTTTTTCTATTTTTATTTTTCTTATTTTTGGATATATTAGTCACCCAGATCAGGGCTATCAGGGGATGTAATAATTGTGGGGATTTTATGTGTTTTTGGGGTACTTTTGGGGTTTTGTAAAATATGTGTTTTTTTCTGCCTGGAGATAATTGGGTTAATACAGTATCTGACTTAATTATCTCCCAGGAAGAGGGGAGGAATTGTGTGCCATGTGGATATGTTGGTCACCCAGATCAGGGCTATCAGGGGATGTAACATTTGTGGGGATAACAATGTTTTGGGGTGTTTTCTGTACTTTGTGTAAAATATGTGTTTTTTTCTACCTGTGGATAATTAAGTTAATTAACTACCTTAATTATATCACAGGCAGAGGGGAGGGATTGTTTACTGTATGTGGGAGTGTTGTACTGTTAATTACTGTTTTCATTGGTTTATGTCACTTGTGTCCCAGTTCCCCATCAGGTCCAGTGTGTGTGCCACTGGCCTGAAAAATACAACCTGTACCATTAAACTGTCAGATCTTCTTACCCTCAACTCGCAGCCTTGTCTTGTGTTGTAGGGAAATGCTTTAGCTGCTGTAATCACTTGGGACTTCACAACACTCTTCCAGATCGGGAAAAAGGACATCTATGCGGTAAATACCCTACCTGCCCAGGGCTCTGCATGAGCCGACACGGGGGATCCTGAGATAGGCGTGCCGCAGGGACACCCGGCACACCAGGCACACCCCGTGCGCACGCCTATGACCCATTACATGTTTGTTGGGATTTTATTGGAGGTTTAATTTTTTTACATTTTTTATCAGGTCCTTTTTCTATTTTCATAATTCGACACAAAGTTATGGACTTTGACTTTTTTGGGGGCTGAAAAAGAAGACATCTAATGGTGAATAATCTATTTTTTTCACAGGTGTTTCGTTTATTGCCCCTCTCTATTATTAGGGTGAGCATGGTTGGTAGGCATTTTGTTTTTTTTTGGAAAGGGGTGACTTGCGACTAGGGGATCCCTAGTCACTGGGGTGGTGTGACTATGGGCTTGGGGACCCATTGGTAATGGGGGGTTATTTGCATTATTAGCCCCCAATAGCTGCCAACGGCTGGGGGGGCACAATAAGTACACCCCCCATTATTATTTAGGGCCCCCAACCACGGCTGATGGGTGGGGACTTGATGGACATGGTGCCCCCTTGTTATTATTTTTAATAGCCCCACCAGTGGCCATGGGCAGGAGGGGGACACTAGGTCCACCCTGTTTAGTTTAACACTCTCGGGGAAGGGGGCACTATGTCCTCCCAGGTTAATTATTTAAATAGGTGCCCCACCATGGGAGCATGGCAAACCTCCTTTATTGGGTTAGTGACTGGGAAGCAATAGTCTTTTCAGTCAAAGCCTGCTCGCTGTTTAGTAGACATGCCTTACTCGCGGTAGAGAGATTTGGGCAGGAGGGTGGTGTAACGGATCACCTAGCACCCCGACTGGGTACCTCCGTTGAACGTTGCTCCTAGTGCTTCCCGAGGACTCCAAGCACTGGAGCATACACCACAACCACCGCAGACTCCACAACCGCTGTAGCTTGACTGGAGTTTTGCTGTCTTCCTTCCACCCTGGATCAGCTTCTGTCCTTCAGGACCGTGTGGGAAAGACCTCTTCCTTCCACCCTGTATGAACCTCCAGGATCCAGGACTGTGTGGTGAAGACCTCTCCTCCAAGGAGACCGTGTCAGGAACAAGCTCTTAAAAGAGCTAAATGATTCAAGCGCAGGGGAGCATGCAGAGCATAGCAATCCCCAGTGCGATTATAACAGCTCCCTCCAATAACAAGACAAGGCTACGTTTAGAGGGCTCAAGAAGAACTGTCTAAACCTTTATTTCTCTTGGGACCAGCCTATAGGGTCACAACATTAACATTGCTGTGAAAACTCAATAAAATCACAAACAGTCAAACCATAGCAGGCAACACACAGTGACTTATCACAACACAATGGCACATTTTTAAAGGGGTGGGGGAGACAATATTTAACAGAAAATATCTCACGTGCCTGCAGAATTAGCAATATGCAAATCTACCCAAATATGCAAATGAACCAGTCTTGCTATTCAGGTAGTGCATATTGCTGTTGCTACCAACAGAGGGCACTAGACAAGCTCCATAGCCAAACCCACCTAGTTTGTAGCAAACCTAAGCAGTACAGGAGAGCAGGCAATACATTACACAGCACACACACACACTATAAACAATTACATTACACACACCCTGCACCTATAATGGGTACAGGGTGACTAAAACATAAGAGAAATAAAGCAACCTACATAAATAGTCTGTCTGAAGGTAGACTAGGGGCTTTAAAGCCAAATACATCAAAGAGTCATAGTCACAGGGGAGGAGGCTGGCAAGCAGGCCTCTCCAGGACCAAGTGGCGAAGGGCACTTCGTCACAGGTGGATTTAAACTCCATTTGTGACAGAACCCTCTGTCTGTTGATTGTGTTTATTCTCCCTCCATCCGTCTGTTTGTTAGGTTATTTCCTTGCCCGTACAGTCCCCGTGTGTTCCCTTGTTATTTCCCGAAAGACGCACGAAGGCGCGACCACCGGGAAGCTGGCATGTGCTGCCAATTGACCTCCCCGTAGCTAGCGTGTGCTGTCAATTGAACACCCAGTAGCTGCGGTTAACCGCAGCTTAATTAACTGTTACCGGGTGGTCGCGGTTACACATGGGGGCCGCACGGTGGCGGCATCCTACAGCTCCCGGACAGACAGTGGTGTTCAGCCCAGCCTCAGTGAACTAAAAGCGGACACTTTTACTCGCGAACACCACTGAGCCGCCAGCCTTCCCTGCTTCTAGCTCCGGTCATATTTCCGATTTTGTATTTAGTGAATGTTGTACCCAGATAGCTATGCCATGGAGCCTATTCGTGTAATAAAAGACTTTGGCTCCATGGCAATTAAACTGTATGTGTGTGGTCTGAGCGCCATTCAGTAATAATGTGCGCTCAGACATAAGCTATCTGGGGATGCGTTACATGTATATGTTTTATGTATCATTCGTGACATTGTGTATTTTATTGCATTTCCCTCTCCTGTTGTCACCTTGTAGGTAATGGTGATTTGCCTCTGTCCTGGGAGATAATTGAATTACTTCCCAATTATTCCCAGGACAGAGAGGCGGGAACACAGTGTATCCTGGGAATGTTTTATCCCTTGTATGTCTGTCATTGATACGTGTCTGTTCCTTGTCACAGTCTCCCAACTGGTCCCCTAGGGGAGTGTCCACCAGGTAGGAGACCTGCATAAATACTGGGCAGGTAGCCCTCAATAAATCAGAATCCTGTTTTACCCTCAATACGGAGCTTGGTCTCGTGATTGGGGGATTGCTACTGTGGAGTATTCTTTTGCCTGTTCCAGGAGAGAAGGATTTCGTATGTTTCCCGTTCGGTGGGTTCGAGTGTTCGTGAGCTGCTGTTCCCTTGTAAAGGTGAATCCCTTAATTGGTATTAACCCTCACTGCACCGGGTTATACTGTAACACACTTATACTAATATGGGGTCATATCGACCCTCATAGGATATGTCAGTATACTTCACTGGCAGACATTTTGTGTTAATATATAAATTAAAAATTTATACTGTAAGTCACCATTTAGCAATTGTGACTCCATTTTGTAACAAAAATGCAAAGACAGACACACATCTTTATTTCTTTGTAACTCTATTCATTCAAACCCTGAGCAAAGGAATGCAGCCAACGTAAACATTGGCCAGAAATGAAGGGGGATTGAAACAACCCGAACACACACACACATATTTATTGGAAGGCTTGGCCTGAAGTTGTGGGAGGGGCTATTGGCCTTTAAAAGGGACTCCCCCCTGACCTTTCCCTACAATACCGTGATTGGTCTAGACGTATTGCTGCACAGTTCGTGTTCGTGTCATCATTCTGGGTAACCAGGGTGAGAGCCATAGCTGCACAGAGGTCCTGCCACTGCCGGACGCTGAGCTGCTCCACGAGGCGGTTTTCCCGTGGAAAAAGTGAGTGTATAGACGGATACAGCAGTATGCGCTCTCTATCAATAACTAGGGAACCCACCAACTAACTAGGGGTCCCAGGCACCACGGACACACAGGGTACACAGAGGGTAGTGGGATCCCCTTACGGAATTGCCAGATACCGGCTTTCACTCAGCATTTCCTATTTGCGTGCCGCGTTCGGCACTTCTTATTAAATGTGAGGTATCATCTTGCAAACTGTGGTTTATGTTCCTTCCTCAGACACCTTCTGCCTACCTCTTTCGGTACAGAGCTGTCTCGCACACTCTCTGCCTGTCTCTTTCTGCACAGAGCTGTCTCGCATACTCTCTGCCTGTCTCTTTCTGCACAGAGCTGTCTCGCACACTCTCTGCCTGCCTCTTTCTGTACAGAGGTGTCTCGCACACTCTCTGCCTGTCTCTTTCTGCACAGAGCTGTCTCGCACACTCTCTGCCTGCCTCTTTCTGTACAGAGGTGTCTCGCACACTCTCTGCCTGTCTCTTTCTGCACAGAGCTGTCTCGCACACTCTCTGCCTGTCTCTTTCTGCACAGAGGTGTCTCGCACACTCTCTGCCTGCCTCTTTCTGTACAGAGGTGTCTCGCACACTCTCTGCCTGTCTCTTTCTGCACAGAGCTGTCTCGCACACTCTCTGCCTGTCTCTTTCTGCACAGCTGTCTCGCACACTCTCTGCCTGTCTCTTTCTGCACAGAGCTGTCTCGCACACTCTCTGCCTGCCTCTTTCTGTACAGAGGTGTCTTGCACACTCTCTGCCTGTCTCTTTCTGCACAGAGCTGTCTCACACACTCTCTGCCTGCCTCTTTCTGTACAGAGGTGTCTTGCACACTCTCTGCCTGTTTCTTTCTGCACAGAGCTGTCTTGCACACTCTCTGCCTGTCTCTTTCTGCACAGAGCTGTCTCGCACACTCTCTGCCTGTCTCTTTCTGCACAGCTGTCTCGCACACTCTCTGCCTGTCTCTTTCTGCACAGAGCTGTCTCGCACACTCTCTGCCTGCCTCTTTCTGTACAGAGGTGTCTTGCACATTCTCTGCCTGTCTCTTTCTGCACAGAGCTGTCTCGCACACTCTCTGCCTGCCTCTTTCTGTACAGAGGTGTCTTGCACACTCTCTGCCTGTTTCTTTCTGCACAGAGCTGTCTTGCACACTCTCTGCCTGTCTCTTTCTGCACAGAGCTGTCTCGCACACTCTCTGCCTGCCTCTTTCTGTACAGAGCTGTCTCGCGCACTCTCTGCCTGCCTCTTTCTGTATAGAGGTGTCTTGCACACTCTCTGCCTGTCTCTTTCTGCACAGAGCTGTCTCGCACACTCTCTGCCTGCCTCTTTCTGTACAGAGCTGTCTCGCGCACTCTCTGCCTGCCTCTTTCTGTACAGAGCTGTCTCACACACTCTCTGCCTGCCTCTTTCTGTACAGAGGTGTCTTGCACACTCTCTGCCTGTCTCTTTCTGCACAGAGCTGTCTCGCACACTCTCTGCCTGCCTCTTTCTGTACAGAGCTGTCTTGCGCACTCTCTGCCTGCCTCTTTCTGTACAGAGCTGTCTCACACACTCTCTGCCTGTCTCTTGCCTTCAGCCTGGCAGAGGGTCATAGAATGTTCATATGAGAGGATCCACTCTCAGCACTCTCAGCCATTACTGGGCCACGTCATGCATGGTGAGACATTATACTAAAATCCTGAGACAGGTGAAATGTCCAGCTGTCGCCAACCAAACGTTACCAGCCGTCATACAGTTTAATGGGCGCAGTTACCATCTTTCTATATTGATACATTTTTGCTAACCCAGTCATTGCCTGCTTCAAGCCTGGGCATTAGGTTCTATTCCCCTCATTTAGGCGGGTTCAGACTTTTTCGTACATCAGGTTACTGAGCCACATATCGCCACCTGGTGGCCTTGTTACTATATTGACAGATAGCAGTTATTGTGCCTTTGTACGTTATATATCTTTCTGTATGTTAAAGTGTTCCCTGAAGGACCCTAGTTGCTTCATTCAGTATGATTGGCTATCATTTTTAGCCCTGGAACGTTGCAGTCATCTTTCTATTAACTTAGTATTTGTCATTGGATCCTTAGGTCTGCTTTTCGTGATTCATTGACCATATGTAACAGTTACACGTTTCTTATTGGATGCATATTACTGCAACCTCAGTTATTGTGATCATAAGATTATGCAAGTTTCAAAACTGTACTGAAGCCCAGCGTCCATAAGATCACGGACTATTCCCTGCATCACAGCTGAGCTATGCAGGAGCAGCATCCCTTACCCAGCTGCTGCCAAGACAGCGGAGCTGTTCATGCTTATGCGGACCAACACTGAAAATGCAGACGCAGGGGAGTGCACGAGTGGCACAAACGATGTCAACCTACGCACAATGATTGCTTCACTAGTGTCTCCTCCATGGGAAAAATCAATGATAAGCTGGAGAGATTGGAAGCTCGTAGCCTTCCCGCCACAACATCAGAGCCCCTCATGGCCGACCTTTCAGGCACCCCTCAGTTACAACCAGGTAATGCTACGCCCACCAGCTGGGTATCGCAGGTAATTAACCCAGCCCACATGGTACCGGCGAATCTTAAGAAGGAAATCCTGGAAGGCAAAGACGTTAATCTCTTCTCTCTTCTGATTGCCTCCCAGGATGTCATAGAGAATCGCACATACACATACAGGGATATCTACAGGTGATACTCGAAAAATTAGAATATCGTGCAAAAGTTCATTTATTGATTGTGGATTTGGGGTTTTCATGAGCTGTGAGCCATAATCATCGCACTTATGACAAATCACGACTTGAACTATCTTGCTTTGCATGTAATGCGTCTATCTCATATATTAGTTTCCCCTTTTACGTTGCATTACTGAAATAAATGAACTTTTGTGCGATATTCTAATTTTTTGAGTATCACCTGTAGGTGGTACTGAAAGCTAGAGACCTGAAACTCAGCAAGAAACTGTCAATTACAGATTTTGTTATTTCTTTCGGGATTTACAGGGATGTGTTATGTTCAGTTGACCCACATAGAGGGGAGGAGCTGGACCTCTATATGCACAAGCTGGTGGATCGTGGCCAAAAATACGGTGGTACATCTATTTATGACTACCACCGGCCATTTGCAGAGAAGGCATTGGCAGCTCTGGCCCAGTACAATGTCAAGATGGATTGGAGCCAACTGGAGACGGAGTTGTTCCTTTAGACACTTCGCTGGGCTAAGGACCCCAGCTTGTGCAATATGTGCAGCAACCACACATTCCGACAATCTCTGTCCAGTTTCACCTGACATTACGAGGGTAGAGAAGCAGGGCAAGGATAAATTGGGCCCTCCGATAGTATACTTAGGCAAGTCACAAATATGTAATAACTTCGATGTAGGTGCTTGTGCTTATAGTGCCTGTCGACTTTTACACATATGCTCTCATTGTTTCAGGGCACACGCAAAAGCCATCTGCCCAAATAAATTGCACCTTAAACCCTATTTGACATTGGTTAATATTGGTGTTCTAGCTAATCTGCTATCCACTCACCCTTCTAAATATCTTGTTGAATTTTTGATAGCGGGTTTTTCCCAGGGATTCCACACGGGCCTTATTTACATACCAGCGGGGACTTTGGAATGTAACAACCTGCAATCAGCCATGGCCGAAACAGAGTCAGTAGAGGCGTTTTTACAAATAGAACGGGAGCAAGGGTTTGTATTAGGGCCATACAAAGAGCCTCCTTTTTCTAGCAGGAGGACTAACCCTATTGGCCTGGTCACGGGAAAAAACATGACCAAGCAGAGATTGGTCATAGATCTCTCGGCAACACATTCCTCTGTAGTCCCTAGCCTTAACTCTCTGATCCCCTCTGAAGAGTTCTCTCTGCAGTACTCTACGATGGGCAATGCAGCAGAAGCCATCATATCAGCTGGCATAGGGGCTTGGCTTAGCAAGACGGACATTGTAAATGCGTTTAAGTTACTGCCCATACATCCATCATTATGGCACCTGCATGACATAAAATGGAGGGATCACTACTATTTTTTTATGAGGCTCACCTTCGGCTCAAAGAGTAGTCGAAAACTTTTTGACATTTTTGTGGAAACCTTGTGTTGGCTTCTCCTGTGCCATAATGTTATCCATTATCTGGACTATTTTCCTGTGCCATAACGTTATCCATTAATGCATCCCCCCTGTGCAGCCTAGACAAGGCGGTAAAGCTATTCCACTCATTAGGGGTATCAGTGTCACCTCAAAAGACAGAAGGTCCAGACACTATAATCAATTTTCTAGGGATACAGCTGGACTCTGTGGCCATGGAAGCCAGCCTTACTCAGGGAAAAATTACTAGCATCCGGCATGACATAGACTACTACATGCAGACCGGCTCATGTAATAGGAAATAATTGCAATCACTGCTTGGCTTGCTAAATTTCGCTATGCAAATTATCCCACAAGGTAGAGCATTCATTTCCAGACTCCTGAGCCTCCTCCCCACATTCCCCGATGATGACAGTCGTATCTCCCTTAATTACCAAGCCACGGCAGACCTCTGTATGTGGAACATGTTTCTCACAAACATACACTCCCCTACCATTTGGACTGATACAGCAGCTTCCACTAATTTTTCTGCCATTTTGGCAATGAATGGCTCTGGGGTAGTTGGCCAGAGGAACTGCTGGACATAGAGGGGTTTTACAAGAACTCAGCCCTTTTTGAGGTATATCCAGTTGTAGCAGCAGCAGTGACTTGGGACCATTTATTGTCTGGGAAGCCAGTTCAGTGCTTCTCAGATAACTTGGCAATCTGCCACATCATTAACAAAGACCGCTCATCTTCATTAATGATAATGAGGTTTATTAGGTAACTGACGTGGCTAGCAGCCTGTCATCAGTTTTACTTGGTATGCTACCATGTCCCAGGCATTTTGAACACTGCAGCTGATCAGTTGTCTCGTTTCCAGTTTCCAGTTTCAGGCTTTCAGAAGGTCCCTACCTACTGCTTCACGACTGGTCACAACCACCCCCCTGCTCCAAGATCTAATAATGGATTAGACGAATTACTGCGCCATAGTAAGGTTCTGACAAAACTTGCCCTATCCACTAACACGCATAGCACATATGGCAGGGCATTTTACTTATATCAGAGGTTTATGTCAGAACATCACCTGGTTAAATTGTTTGACATAACATCACTGGTGGTTTTTGCCACCTCACGTTAAAGTTATCACACAACAACATAAAATTATACCTGACAGGAATCCAACACCACATGTTCTCCGCTTTTCCCAACAACTCAAACTTTCTTACAGCATACCTTATCAAGACTATACGTAGGGGCATTTCCAAGGCCAACGGTCCTATCCCACAGCATAGACTGCCAATTAACAAACAATTGTTAAAAAATATGTCGGACTTACTGGACACAGCGCCATTCGAACCCCGCACTAACTCTGTCATAAAAACAGCCATATACTTGGCCTTCTACGGCTTTCTGAGGCCACGAGAATTCACTACTAGAGGCCAACACAATGGTCAAGGTTGCCTTCGCACCTCATACCTAAGCAAACAGCAAGGCCATTACATACTAAGCCTACCCATGACCAAAACTAGTCAACTGGGTCAACCCATTCACATTCCGTACTATCCCACAGACAACTCATGGTGCCCAGTGAAGGTTTTTGATGCCTACCTCCTCACTGTACCTAATCTCACATCACTCCCTCTTCTGTCACTTTACAGGGCTATCCTCACCACTGCTAAGTTTATGGTATATGTACCCTTGTTATTAACAAGACTCGGCTTGAATGCTAGCAAGTATTCAGGACACTCGTTTAGGATAGGGGCTCTATCAATATGGATGAACAATATATTTACTGGTAATTTGCATATCAAGCTACTATTCAGCGATATTGACTTATCTGAATTTAAGGATAGTTAACCGTTAATCAGGAAAGTTAATCATCTGCAATGTAAAATCTGTTAGCATTATTCTTTGATTATTGGATGAGAAGGAATGGTTAAACTGATCTGGTGTGAGAACTATTGCAATTGTTAATTGCAATATTAAAGGTGTTTTTCCTGCGAGAATTGTAGCCAGCAGTGAGTGAGGTAACTCAGTGTGATTCAAACTCACAGCAAAGGTTATGGCTGTAAGTTGTGCTGCTGTGTGATGCTGGGATGATGCCATGTGTTCTGTGTAAGGAATGTCTAGCTCATTTGCAAGTTGAAGTTTTCTGAAGTAAATCAGTGTGGCTATGTTGCTATTGAGCTATCTGTAATTGTGTTGTAACTGCTGCCATATTGTATAATTATGTTATACATAAATATTCACAGATTATTGTCACGCATGTTACATATTATTATAAATTATTTCTCACAATAAATTATATTTTTATATTTGTTGTGATTAATGTGTAAAATACAAATTCTCTAATGTACTCCAGGGTCTATAAGAGTTAAAATAGTGGGTAACTCTTAGATTTAAATCAATCAAGGGGAACTTTTCCAATATATCAATTTTGATATAATTAAAATTATTGAATAAATTTTTGATAATGTTTATGAAAATATTATGGTAACGGACCGTTTCAGAACACAAGGGGTTAAAACCGTTTAGGCGATCGTCCCCTTCCAGAGATGCAGGCACAGCTACTGCAGAACACCAAGCTGCCGAACAGGAAACCATACGAATGCTGTAAACAGCCGAACAGGAAAAACCATACGAATAGGTTTACACTCCTAGCAGTCAAACTGGAACAGCATACAATAAATCCCCCCAAGAACGAGACAAAGCTCTGTGTTGAGGGTCAAGTAGTGAACAGACAGAGCTGTGGGTTTATTGTGCTTATGTACACATTCTTACACATTAGTACCACCCACAGGGTTTCAGAACACAACCAATAAACACATACAATACACTCAGACACTCCCACACAAAATCCTCCTCTCTGCCTGTGATTCAATTACCTTACACAATGGGTAATGTAATTTGGCACAAGCAGAGAAATACAATTTTTCCACATTATTCATAACTTGAAAAGTATGCATCACAGTATGCATTACATTTTCAGAATCAGCATACTCCAAATACAAACATACGTCAAAATCATACAAATTGGTCCAGTGGTTCAAAAGATAGATCATAGTCCTTTGTGACCACAGGAAGCATGGCTTTTCTGCCCAAAACCAGTTCCACAGAGTCTTCTATCCTGGAGATAATTAGAAGTAATCCAATTATCTCCAAAGACAGAGGCAAAACTCCATTGAACACATAGCAGCAAAAAGACAGTAAAATACAATAAAATACACAAGGTTACATTTATGACATAAAATACAGACATGCAACATATGCCCAGATAGCTTAGGTCTGAGCGCACATTAATACTGAATGGCGCTCAGACCACAAACACATACAGTTCAATTGCCATGGAGCCAAAGTCTTTTATTACATAAATAGGCTCCATGGCATACCTATCTGGGTTATATGAGTTCATTCAGTAAATCCGAGAATCTACCGAACACCGGGCAGAAAAGCACGAATAAGTCTTTTCTGCAGTGAAAAAGATGTCTTCATAGTCCAAAGGCAGCAGGCGAGCAACCAGGCTTCTCCAATGCAATGTGGCGAGATTGGTCTTGTCACAATTATTTTAATATTTAATCACCCCATAAATATCCTCACAGGTGAGGTGGGAGCATTGGGGAATATAGGAAGCAGCGGGAAGCATAGCTCCCCACCGCCTCTACATTTAAAGATTACAAGGAGGAAGCCGCAAGCCGGTAGCTCCCTCCTTGTAATAAACAAAACAAATGAATAAAAGAACAAATTGGAAGATGAAATTTCGTCTGACAAGCTATTCAGTCATTTCATTTGTTTTAATTTCTATTTGTTCATTCGTCTTTCACACAATAGAATATCCCCTCTACTGGTCTCTTCTCACTCGATCTATGAATAAAATCAATATTAATTGTGTCCTCAAGCCAGCGATCATCAGTTATTTGTTTTTGGTGGCATGGATGAAACTAATTCACCAATCAGATGAAACCATTTGGTGCGTTGTCCATTTGGCTTGCTTCTGCGAATCATCCATATAGTGTTTCAGAGATGTGGAATTCAGACAGTGAATCGCAATTTGTTTGATATCGACTGCACAAGGCTATTAATACTCACTCCCGACTATAGCTTAAACTATATTAATACTCACTCCCCATTATAGCATAAACTATACTAATACTCAATCCCCATTATAGCATAAAATATATTAATACTCACTCCCGACTATAGAATAAACTATATTAATACTCACTCCCCATTATAGCATTGAATATATTTATACTCATTCCCGACTATAGCATAAACTGTATTAATACTCACTCCCCATTATGGCATAGAATATATTAATATTCACTCCCGATTATAGCTTAGAATATATTAATACTCCCCATTATAGCATAAACAATATTAATACTCACTCCCTATTATAGCATAAAATATATTAATACTCACTCCCATTATAGCACAAACTATATTAATACTCACTCCCGACTATAGCATAAACTATATTAATACTCACTCCCGATAACAGCATTGAATATATTAATACTCCCCATTATAGCATAAACAATATTAATACTCACTCCCTATTATAGCATAGAATATATGAATACTCACTTCCGATAATATAGCATAAACTATATTAATACTCACTCCCCATTATAGCATAGAATATATTAATACTCACTCCCTGTTATAGCATTGAATATATTTATACTCATTCCCAACTATAGCATAAACTGTATTAATATTCACTCCCCATTATAGCATAGAATATATTAATACTCACTCCCGATTATAGCTTAGAATATATTAATACTCCCCATTATAGCATAAACAATATTAATACTCACTCCCTATTATAGCATAAAATATATTAATACTCACTCCCATTATAGCATAAATTATATTAATACTCACTCCCGACTATAGCATAAACTATATTAATACTCACTCCCGATTATAGCATAGAATATATTAATACTCCCCATTATAGCATAAACAATATTAATACTCACTCCCTATTATAGCATAGAATATATGAATACTCACTTCCGATAATATAGCATAAACTATATTAATACTTGTGACGAGACCAATCTCGCCACATTGCATTGGAGAAGCCTGGTTGCTCGCCTGCTGCCTTTGGACTATGGCCCCCTGTTAAAAGACATCTTTTTTACCTGCAGAAAAGCTTAATTCGTGCTTTTCTGCCTGGGGTTCGGTAGATTTGTTTGAATGTGTTATACCCCAGATAGGAATCCCATGGAGCCCATTCGTATGAAACTGACTGTAAAGACTTTGGCTCCATGGCGATTAAACTGTATTCGTGTGGTCTGAGCGCCATTCACTTAATAATGTGCGCTCAGACCTGAGCTATCTGGGGATATGTTAAATGTATAGTTTTAATGTAATGTGTCTTACCTGGTGTATTTTAACAGTAATGCTTGTTTTGTGTCACCATGTGCATAATGGAGTCTTGTCTCTGTCCTGGGAGATAATTTAATTACTTCTCAATTATCTCCTGGGCAGAGGAGAGGAAGCCAGGATGCATTGTGGTAAAAAGGGGGAGGGAATCTGTGGGTTGTAACTAATATGTTACTGGATATTTTATACCTCCCTGTGGGCGGTCCTGTATTTGCAAGACTGTAATAAAAACCAGGCTGGGTGTGCCAGCACCTCAGACCACTGCTTGACCCTCAACATGGAGCCTTGTCTCGTTCTTGGGGGGATTCACTGTATGCTGTTAGAGACTGATTGCCAGGAGTGTAAGCTGATTGTCTGCTTTTCCTGTTCGTCTGCTAGCAGCTATTTGGGAGGTTCCAGTTCGAGAGTTGGAGTGCTATTTTGTATCCAGTTCGGGAGTTTGGTGTTCTGCAGTAGCTGTGCCTGGATCTCTGGAAAGGGGGCCGATCGCCTAAACGTTTTTTACCCCTTGTGTGCAAAACGGTCCGTTACAATACTCACTCCCCATTATAGCATAGAATATATTAATACTCACTCCCTATTATGGCATTGAATATATTAATACTCCCGACTTTAGCATAAAATATATAAATACTCCCCATTATAGCATTGAATATATTAATATTCACTCCTGATTATAGCATAAAATATATTAATACTCACTGCCCGTTATTATTATATTATTATTATTATTAATAACAGAGTATATTAATACTCCCCATTATAGCATAAACTATATTAATACTCACTCCCCATTATAGCATAGAATATATTTATACTCACTCCCGATTATAGCATAAACTATATTAATACTCACTCCCAATTATAGCATAGAATATATTAATACTCCCCATAATAGGATAAGCTATATTAATACTCACTCCCGATTATAGCATAGAATATACTAATACTCACTCCCGATTATAGCATAGAACATATTAATACTCCCCATTATAGCATAAACAATATTAATACTCACTCTCTATTATAGCATAGAATATATGAATACTCTCTCCCGATAATATAGCATAAACTATATTCATACTCACTCCCGATTATAGCATTGAATATATTAATACTCATTCCCCATTATAGCATAAAATATATTAATATTTACTCCCCATTATAGCATAGAATATATTAATACTCCCCATTATAGCATAAACTACATTAATACTCACTCCCCATTATAGCATAGAATATATTAATACTCCCCATTATAGCATAAAATATATTAATACTCACTCCCGACTACAGAATAAACTATATTAATACTCACTCCCCATTATAGTATACAATATATCAATACTCACTCCCGATTATAGCATAAACTATATTAATACTCCACATTATAGTAAAGAATATATCAATATTCACTACCGATTATAGCCTAAAATATAATAATATTCACTCCCGACTATAGCATAAACTATACTAATACTCACTCCCGACTATAGCATAAACTATATTAATACTCACTCCCCATTATAGCATAAACTATATTAATATTCACTCCCCATTATAGCATTGAATATATTTATACTCATTCCCGACTATAGCATAAACTATATTAATACTCACTCCCTATTATAGCATAAAATATATTAATACTCACTCCCATTATAGCATAAACTATATTAATACTCACTCCCATTATAGCATTGAATATATATATACTCACTCCTGACTATAGCATAAAATATATTAATACTCACTCCCCATTATAGCATAGAATATATTAATACTCACTCCCTATTATAGCATAGAATATATTAATACTCACTCCCTATTATGGCATAGAATATATTAATACTCACTCCCTATTATGGCATTGAATATATTAATACTCCCGACTATAGCATAAAATATATAAATACTCCCCATTATAGCATTGAATATATTAATATTCACTCCTGATTATAGCATAAAATATATTAATACTCACTCCCCGTTATAGCATAGAGTATATTAATACTCACTCCCGATTATAGCATAGAATATATTAATACTCCCCATTATAGCATAAACTATATTAATACTCACTCCCAATTATAGCATAGAATATATTAATACTCCCCATTATAGCATAAACAATATTAATACTCACTCTCTATTATAGCATAGAATATATGAATACTCTCTCCCAATAATATAGCATAAACTATATTCATACTCACTCCCGATTATAGCATTGAATATATTAATACTCATTCCCCATTATAGCATAAATATATTAATATTTACTCCCCATTACAGCATAGAATATATTAATACTCACTTACGATTATAGCATAGAATATATTAATACGCCCCATTATAGCATTAACTATATTAATACTCACTCCCCATAATAGCATAGAATATATTAATACTCCCCATTATAGCATAAACAATATTAATACTCACTCTCTATTATAGCATAGAATATATGAATACTCTCTCCCAATAATATAGCATAAACTATATTAATACTCACTACCGATTATAGCATAGAATATATTAATACTCCCTGATATAGCATAGAATACATTATTATTCCCTGATATAGCATATAATATATTAATACTCCACACTTACCTTTCAGAAGAGAAATGTGCCCAGTAACACACAGGGATTTTACATCATTCGCTGCAACGCTGGAAAAGTCTGTAATAAAATGTAATGTTCACAATAAATTAGACCTTTGAAATCTTTGCTATGAGTGGTCAGAGTGGGGGAATAAAATAAAAATTAGAAGAAACTAGACTTTACATGGGAGGTACCCAGCCGGGGTACAGGGAGCTCCGTTACAGGAGGTATAATCTCTGGCTGCCCAGTCACTAGTTTTAAACATTTAGCAGACATGTCCCAACTGACACATTGTGGGGCAATAGGGAGGTTTAAACCCCCCCATAGTGATATGGGGGTCTTATTGACCCACAGAGGCTATTAATTTTTTTAAATTTTTTTTTTAATGTGGCGGCTAGCTAACGAGCACTGGCCAGCCACCACATAATTAACCTTTTCATTGCCGAGGGTTTTTAACTATTTTCCTGCTGGCTGCTAGCCCTGCCCTCACTGGCAAAATGCAGGTAAATGATAAATTGCGTGGTGCATCCTGCTGGATACTATTTTATTAAAATCGGTGCTCTGTGAATCTTTCAAATCCTGTACTTTGTATAGCATTCAGATGTAAAAGCTCTGATTGTAAACCAGACACTGAATCCATCCGGGCGATTGCTGCAGATTCATGTGGGCCACACAGTAAAAATGAGAATCGCCAATTGGTCATTTTCACCGGGTTTTGTCCCATTAAGCTCCCTTTAGGATCCGTGCAGAGTGGTGTGGACAAAACTCCCTTAACTGTCACAAAACTCCCTTAACTGTCACAAATCTTTCTTAACTGTGATAAATTGTCCAATACCTCTGGATTTGTAACACCCCCTGGTACATTCTGGATGGTGATTTATGATGTAGACATAGGGGTTCTTGTAGATGTAGATTGGCCCAATAAAAGGGGATCACAGTGCAGGAAATTAAATGTACTTTTTCTGTAGTTAAAACATTCATAGATGCAAAACAGTGCTTTTACCTGACTACATGTGTGTCGTCAACGGCTGACAATAGAATATAAGTTGGGTTCTCTATAACTCTCTAACCTTTCTTAATCCCCCCAATTTATCTGGTTTTGGTATGGTGGGGACATGTGGATGGTTTCACTCATTGTCACCTGTTAGAAGGGATTTTACAGTCGCTGTTTCTGTTACGTTTGGCTTTATTTCACTGGTCAAATTCTCGAAGAAACCTGGAATCCAGAAATGAAATAACTTAATAAATACCATTCTTACTGGAATTCTGGAAAATAAATAATAGATTTCACATTATTTCATATTGGCAATAATCAGCCATTTTGGAAGGTGACATTAAAGGACCACTCTAGGCACCCAGACCACTTCAGCTTAATGAAGTGGTCTGGGTGCCAGGTCGAGCTAGGGTTAACCCATTTTTTTATAAACATAGCAGTTTCAGAGAAACTGCTATGTTTATGAATGGGTTAAGCCTTCCCCTATTTCCTCTAGCGGCTGTCTCATTGACAGCCGCTAGAGGCGCTTGCGTGCTTCTCACTGTGATT